GGCAACTCAAGCTCATGAAAAGAGGGGAACTCAACCCAGTTGTCTCAGGTGTGAGCACTAGAACTAGGTAAGAATTCAGACATCCCCAGCTCTGAATGATACAGGCCTTGCCACCAATGGCAACAGTGTCCAGCAAGCACACTCTATGGGACAGGGCACTGAGGAGCACAGAGATGGCCAACCCTGGTCCATCCAGAGTGCTGATTCCTTCTCAAAGAACATGCCGATTTGATGTCTGAAATATGATGGCTCAGGGTAAATTGTAGTTTTTGTTACCTACTAGTTCAAATTAATGTCCTTATTTTTCCATTATATGCTTTGAGTGCATTGTATCAGAGGGAAAAGACAAGAATGGGTTTGTCTCATTGAGCAGTTAAACTGGGGAAGAGGAAAAGGATAATAAGCTTTGGGGGACTGATTTCTTTATTTTTATGGTGCCGTCAGAATAGAGGACTACAAATTCCCAATCCCTCTCACCAAAAGATTACAAAGCACATTTTGTTCCTTTTTTTTCAGTGGGTCAGAAATTGTGTCTCCAAACTATTTGTTGTCTGGGAATAAAACTGAACTCACTAGCAAAATGTCTATTTTGATAAATCAGGAACAAAAAGACCCAAACTAATGACTTCCACACTGGAAGCTGCCCTGGGAAATATAATACAGGATAGTGGAGTCAGGGGCTTGTTTACCATGATTCTCTGTATCCATCTGATGGGGAGTATAAATAGGTTTCTTTACACAAAGGGACCCAGAGAATAGCAAGACGGGGAATAATTGACTTGTCTTGGTATGTTTGTGAATGTGCATTTTTATCTGATGGCAAATATGCTGTTGGCCTTTGAGTCAGTCACCTGCTGTAAAATATCTTCAACTTCCTATGCCCTGAGATAGTGTGCCCACCCCCAGCCCCAAGAAAACATTTCAAATTAGCATTAATCATCCAGTGTCGTGGTTTGGGGCCTATGGTGAAAGCCACCTACTGCAGCTGAATGCCATTCAGCAGGCAAGAAGTGATTTGCAATATAATTTAAATGAAGAGTTAGATCCCTTTCCCACTCAGAACACACCAGTATGGAAAACCGATTGTCAGGCGTTCTGGTGATGTGCATCGACTTGGCTATTCACTCAGAAAATGAAGTTTCCTGAGACACCAGTGCATTTAATTTATTTTTTTCCCTATGAAGTTAACTTCAGCTTGTTAAATACAGTGACTATCCAAATCGCAGAAAAACCAGCACCATTAATTTTAATGCTCATATTGTAATGGAGGGAGATTATATTCATTTGGGATTTTTCTTTTTAATAGAATATTTACTTGCCCCTCTCCTTATGCGGTAATTATTATTTTCCCTCCATAATGCTCTGCTGGTATCCGAGCAGCCAAACTGCCTATCTGTTAATGTCCTGATTTCCGAAGTGCTGGTGAATCTAGCATTTTTGTATTGTTTATGTCACTAAAGCACCAAGAGCTTGGCAGTGACTATGTGACTGATAAGACAACAACTGGTTCCCTATAGAACCCTCCCATATATTTGTGTAAAACATTTAGTTTTCATAGTTTCTTTTCTGGCTTCAATTGTCAGATTGAATGACTTTTCCATTAATTATGCAGCAGTAAATTAAAATGTGGTGACTTTTCTTCTGCTATCATTCAGGTATCTACTTTTAGTTCATCAATATGTACAGTGAATAAACAGTATACCCCACTTAGATCATTATTATACTATGTATTGGGGATGAACCATTAAGATATAGTCTTCATGTTCAGGGAGCTCACAGTTAGAATAGGATATATAACCAGGAGCTATAGCGCAGGTGCAATGGGATGGGTGGTAAAAGAGAGTTGGGTACAGAAGGTAATAGGGTGCAATAGAGGGAGATCTCCTTGGATAGGGGACCCCCAAAGAAGGCTTTGCAGAGCAAAATATGCTATAGCTGGATCTTGGAGGCCAGGCCTTGAGTTAATTGAGTTGGCATTGGAATTGCGGGAGAGGGGAGGAAAAGATAGCTCAGGCATAGCAAAGCACATATGCACAGTGGTGATGAAAGCTTTGGATGGAAAAACTTACACAAGTGCTCCTGATTTATGGGAGATTACATGCCAGTACATCCACCTTCCTTTGCTAATATTGTAAGTTGACAAGGCACTGAAGCTTCCTAGCCTAGAGAATGTCACAGCTTTTCAACACAGAGTACTGAAGACAATTGGTTGTTGTCCCTGGTCCTGTGATGCAGCTCACTGCTGCTGCCCAGCACGGAGAGGGACGGGGAGGAAGAGAGAGAATTAAACCACATATTGCTAGCCTGAGAAAAGATGCAAAGTTCAAAGCACAGTTTCTCCTAACTGCATATGATTTTGTGTAATTACAAAGCCAGGAAGTCATCAGTCTCATCATCCTAAGTCTATATATGCTTTTTAAATAATAATATAAGTTGACATTCACTGAGCTCACCATTTGCCAGCAATTCTTATATCTGCACACTATTACTTGATGCCTCGAGTGATATGGTAACCTGCCAGGTATCATAGAGCTGATAGCTTTTGGATCGACTGAAACCCAGATTCTGTGACTCCAGAGCCTTTAAGTTTAAATCTTATGCTCATGGCCTCAGTTCTCTCAAACCCTCAGCCAGCTGTTCAGATAAGACTTGCAAATAGAGACTACCATGCATGACTGTGTGTAAAAGGGGACAATAATAGTACATAGGAGGCAGAGAAAGGGTTAAGTGAGACAACAATTATAGAAAGTGCTTAGAAGAGTGCCTGGGACACTGGGAAGTGTGTCTTAACTGTTGGTATCATTCTGATCAATGTCTTAATAATGTCAGAGTCCAATAGTACTTAGGAGTCCAGTGGCAGGGAGTTCACTTTGGAGGACAATTACTAATAAAGACATTTTGGAGTTGGTAAATCTGGGTGGTTTAATGATGGAATTCTTGGACAAAGAACTTGGGGCCAGATGTGATGGCAAATACTTGTAATCCTAGCTACTCAGGACCTTGAGGTGGGGGACCATATGTTTGAGGTCAGCCTGGGCAACTTAATGAGACCCTGTCTCAAAATACAAAATTAAAGGTGTGTATGGTGTCCCTGGGGGTAGCTCACTGTGAAGCCCTGGATTTGATCCACCATACTACTCGCACACACACACACACACACACACACACACACACACAAGGACTTGGGTACAAGGGGACTTCTTCAGCAAGAAAGAATAGAATGCTAGAATGAAGAAATCCAAACAGACTGGAAAATTTTTAAGTAAAGCAAATAGACCAATATAATTGAACCTCTGTCTATAAAGAGCAGCAGGGAAAGGAAGATCAAACAGGAAGAGAGAAGTTATTGACAACTAAAGATGTTTGTTGAGTGACTGCCTCTTTTTACAGTTTGTATTATATCGTTACCATAACATATCCAGGGGCTATTGACTCATTTTTTTTCCATTTGACGGTAATGAGATTCAGAAGAATTAGACTACTTTCCTAAGATCCCCAGCTAAAGCATGGTAGAACTTGGGCTTGAGCTTAGTTCTGTTTCTTGAACTGCCATGCTCTTTGGGCTGCATCCCACTTTCATTGTGGTACTGAGGATCTTTCTAACACATTGTCAATATTTATAGAAAAAATTTTTAAATGAAAGTGATAGACAAAAAGGGAGAAAAATGTATAAACATATTCTTCTTTAGGTTCTGCTTATCAATCACAATAGGCCAACATTTCTCCAGTTAAATAGCCCGTGTCTGCTTTTATTAAGATGGAAAGAACTGGTCTCCCTGTTTGGTATACTGTACACACACATGTCCTCTTCCCGGTTGCCTGTTTACCTGTACCTGATATAACACATGCCAAAAATAATACAGCATCCCCTGAAATAAGACTTCGCCAACAAAAGAGTCTTTGAAGAAAGAGTGCCAGGTGCTGGGGTTAGAATCCTGACTCTACTTTTATAGCTGTGCTCACAAACAAATTTCCTAAATTCTGTTTCCTTATCTGTTTAATCACAACAGTAATAGCACCCAGACTGGTGGGCTGCTGTTAACAGATAAATACATACAAAGACTAAAAACTGCTTAAAAAAGCTACAATCATTCATTAAATGTTAACATTATTAGCACCACTATTGTGACTTCTAGATCATGTCCCTTCAGGTAAAGAGTTGTAGTTGATTCTGTTGGTACACGTACATAGAAGTCCTTTCAGACACTTCTAAAGAGAGTGTACAATCGTAACACTTCTCTGGATGGTGATTTGACAATCTTCATCTAAATTTAACATAGAGTTTTTCTTTGCGCAATATTTCCATTGCAAGGTATTTATCCTGCAGGCTGTTTCACACAAATGAATGGTGTGTAATTCGTACCTTTTGGATTTGGGCTTGTATATGTATAACATAGTCCACATTTTAAAAATAAAGAGTAATGAGCATATCTTAGTCATTTTCACATCACTGAGACACTGTAATACTTGACATCTGTGATTTAAAGGAGAGATTTATTTTGGCTCAAATTTCGGCCCCCGGTTGGCTGGCTCCAAGGCAGTATAACATGACAGGGGGCATGGCAGAGGGAAGTTGTTCATGTTAGTGGCAGCAAGGCAGAGAGAGTCGAGGGAGGGGCAGGGAAGGAAACAGCCCCTTGCAGGCTACACCCACAGTGACCTACCTCTTGCAACCAGACCTCACCTCCTAACCGGAAATCAGCTATAAACTGTAATCACAATCCAGTCAGGCTCTTGGGGGCCATTGACATATAAACCATCGACATAACAGTGTTGTGCTTTTTCATATCCTCCCCTAGTCGAACACTATGCTAGGCACACAAACCCTAAAAAATTCCCTTTTGTTTATCCCAGGACAGTTCCTGAGCACTTTTGTGCCCCATACCCACCCATGTGCACAGGCGCACTTCAGGAGACCCGCCTCACCCCATCCATCCTGGCTGTGCCCTCCTTTCTCCTCGTTTTGCTCTCAAAATTCACATACGCTTTCTTCATTGCAGCTGTTTCCTTGGCTTCTCTAAATGACAATTCCTGATTTGTGGTCCTGGCAATCTCAGGAAAACATCATCCAGTTTCTCCAGTCCAGACCCCAGGGGTCCCCTTCTCCTCGGAGTCATCTCCACGTGGCCAGGACACATCCACTGAACCACTTTTGAGGACCCTCGTGAGTAAAACAGTTTTTTTCTTTTATGAAAACAGTACCAGTCATCCCCTTGCCCTGCTATCCTCCAGTTTTGAGTGTGATTTGGGTTTTCTCAAGAGCTATTTCCATTTCTCTTCCTTTCTGGACAACTGTGGCCCCGTGGTTAATACTCCCAGATTTATTGTTTGCTTAATCACTGACATATTCCAGGAGGTGTCAGCCAGCAGAACCTGAGCTCAGAGAGGCTCCCGCCTTTGTTTTCCTCCTGTGTGGTTCCATTCAGGGCGACTTGTCCCTGATGTAGACTGGAGACTAAATGGATTAGAATAAAACCAATTTAAGAGAAAAAAGAAATATTCACAGGAACAGAAATAGAGAATCTTGCTATCTTGGCTGCTTAAGATCTGCAGACCTCACCAAGGAATTTAAAAAGTAATGTTTCTTATCATAAGTGACAGAAATATGCTGCTTTCTGCATCAATAGATACGAAGATTAAAGGGTCTGACTGTATTAAACAATTTCGCACAGCACCAGGCACTTTGGGCTGTGCTCTCTGCCTTATTACCCTTCATCTTGTGGCTATTTCAGGCCCAATTTAAGAATACAATGCAGTCTGGCTTTGAAATTGACATCCTTTAATTTAAACTGTCTTGTGGGAGAATTAAGAAATTATGGAACAATTATTCCCCCTTAGTTGAAAGCTGGGTGACATCCTGAGATTCTTGTACATTAGCCATTTGAATTGATTAAGTCACATAATTGAATTACACCTTTGCCCCCATAATATCTTGTGGCAAATATGTTGGTGTTTCGTGTTGGGAAAATGCTCTCATAAAAAGCTAATAGGGGCTGCGGATTGCAGAATGACCTCCGTGTCAAAGAAAACCTCCAAGCAGGGGGGCTGACACTCAAAGATTTCTGTGGGGGAGGTTGATTAGCAAAGTGAATGTTTCATTTGGAATCACAATGGTAGTTCAGGATGAGAATTGTGTGTCTGGTACAGTAGGCTTCTTCACCCAGCCCAGCTTGGCATTGTCCTCAAGAGTTCAGTGAAAGTATCCAGCATTCATTCTCCAAGCTTTTTCTCATATCTCCCTGGAACAAAAAATACTGGGTTTGGTGCACTTCGCTTTTCCTTCCCCTACGTGCTCTCATCATGGTCCCCTACCCCGCTGGTGTTAATGTCTCTTTCCCCAGACAGAGAAGCCAAGCTGGAAACCCTGTCCAGCTCACCTGGTGAAGCGAAGGCACTCAAGCAGTGTCTGTCCCATGAGGCTTTATTTTGTAAGTCTCCATGGTTTAGTCTCTAAGATGTTTTCTTTTGGAACATGGATGAGGAGAGAAGTAGAATCTGTTAGTCATTTTTAAACCATCATTGTTAAAAAGGTGTCTGTCTTCTGGACCACTTGTATCATTAGGTAATTGTATCAAGGATTTATTAAACACGACTCTGTTTAATAAATACCTGTTAGATACAAAAGCCAAGTGAGTTGGTAAGGGGGGAAAAGCCACCCAAACATGTTTCCTGTTCTTTAAAGGTGCTCAAAATTTGGCTAGGAATTGGAGAGGTCTGTGCAGCAGAGAGCCCTGGTAGCCGAAAGAGCCTGTAGGAGGGAGACGCATAGTCCAGAGCTATGAAAGGGGGCAAAGGTACATTCCATTTCGTTCCTCTCTGAAGTTTCACCGCCTGCATCTTCCCTGCCTCTCACCCTCCTCCCACATCTTCCATTTGGAACCCAGCAGAGTAGAGAACTCTGGGCCTCATGTCCTTGGTCAGGCTGGAGATGTGCCTTTCATTTGGAAACTTCTGGGAAGGAGAGGTTTGAAAGCGCCATTCCACTGCACCGCTACCCCCACCCCAACTTATTCACCGCACCGCAAAGCATTCTGGGCCTTCTGATTCTTTGTCTACTCTGTGTGGCATGAGAGTCTCTCGCTCTTTTTAAAAGCTCTTTACCTTTTCTTTATGTTCATCAAAGAACACTGTTGGCGCTTTAAAACTCGACCACGGCAATCCCTCTGAACGTTTCTGTGTGGAAGGGATTTATCAAGTCTGTCAAACACTGACCAGTAAAACCTTTAATATTTTTAAAAGGTTTTATTAAGCCAGCGTATTTATCATATGCATCATTGAGAATAATCTTTCTATTTATAAAAAAATTAAATATTCACTGTGAAATATTACGGAGATGAGCACAGTGGGTAAAAAGCTTAAACAGGGACCCAGTTGTACATTTGGAATGGGAGCTCTGGTTAAATCTCTGACATCACCTGCTAGGAGCCACATATCACATCCTTCACACTTGTGTGCCTGCGTATCGTCTGTTGTGAAATTCCGGAGTTTTGTTGTTCAAGTAGAAGAGAGGGACCATTTTTTGTTGAGTGCTTGCTCTGCGTCAGGCGTTGTGTCTGCACATTTTAGGTGGGTTATCACCTTTTAATCTTCAAAGCAATCCTTAGTCGTAGGCGCTACCATGGCTTCTCTGCAGACAAGGAAACTAAGATTCAAAAGTGAAGCAGTTTTCTGAAGATCACATAAATATTCCTTTTCAAACCTGGGACTTGATGCGAAACTAATCACTGCATTCTGTTTATGGGGCACATGCTTAGCACAGGGTAGGCGTCCCACCAGTGGATGGTTAGCATTAAGATTTCTGGGGATTTTTATTGCAAAATCACTGTGCTCCAGACAGAGACCCAGTGTGGAGTGTTGGATGTGATTCTGAGAATCTGATATGTGTGTTTCGAGATGTTTAACACAGCAGTGGTGGTAATATTTCTCAGAGTGGGAAGAGTATCACTCAAGGCTTTTTATTAATAACTCAATGCATTTCATTGTTTGTAAAGTGCCTTCACAGGCACAGTCTAGTGTAACCCATTCAACTGCCTTGCTTGTGAATGCAGTACTACTTCCATCTCCTAGTGGAAACTGGAAAACTGAGACCCCAAAGCCTAAGTTCTACCCAGGTCATTCAGCTAGAAATGACTTCATTGTTGCACAAACTCTGTTCTTCTGTTTTCAAAGTTGTAACCTTTCCACTAATATTTTTCGACCCGTTTAGTGTTTGTTTCTCAGAACTGAAAAAGTAAAATGGAGTTGTTTCTTTCTTTTTCTTTTATTTAAAAGTTTTATTTATGTGAATGTGTGCAACCTCAAAAGTGTACTTTAACAGTTGTTTTGATCCTGGGTTTCAACTTACTATGTTGATTGGAAGCCTTTTGCAAACACTATTTAAAGTACTTAAAAGAGTAAAGAGTGGTTATCAATTATGCACAATGTAATTTTTCAGCTTTATTGAGGTATAGTTGAGAAATAAGAAAAGATTGAAGCTTGTAAAGACCTCAGGGACACATGACTGTGGAGTTCAAGGGTTGATAACTGAGGCCCGGCCACTGAAAATGGCCACGAGTAACCCACAAAGTGTCCTGTGATAGAGAATAAAAATTCCTTTGTTCAGATGGGATGGGTGGCATAAAACCAGAAAGCATTCACCTAGGAGGTCACCCATGATGATGTCCTGAGAGGAGGCAAAGGGTTTTAATGGAAAAGATTCAACAAGTGAGGCTAGAATGGGAGAAACAGAGGACTGTATGACAAAATGACAACATGGCGGCCCCATGGGCGGAGCCCTGTGTGGAATTCAAGTTTGTTGTTTCAACATAATTAGTTGTCTAATTGCATTCTTAGACTGTTACCGTCGTGCTGCACGCATATATAATTAAACCCCAGCCATCCAAGCCATGTCTTCTGCTTGCCTCTGCTTTGTGCCTCCAGCTTTGCAGCTGAGGAAGCAACCCAAAAAAACAAAAACAAAAGGTTTCAAGGTTGAGAAGCATTGCAATTCCAAACTCACTTTGTCTGTGAGTACACCTCTCTGTGCTTGCCAGATGCACTGGGAAAGAGAAAGGTAAAAGACGTAGGAGGAGTAGCTTCCTCCTCCAAGGCTACTATGGAGACAACGAACCCATTTCTGGAATTTGTCTGGGTGGGCGAGATGTTTCCCCCATTTAAATTCTGCAAACTGTAATTAGCATCAGCAAGAAAAGAGAAATGACTGTGTTGGGAAACATAACTTTCCTCTTCACAGCAGCCTCTGTTCTCAAGGGTTGATCTGTAGCACTGGGCTTTTTCCTTTGGTAGCTGAAGAGTTTTATTCTGATAGTGAAGCTCTACTTGCAGCAGGGGCAAGAAGCCAGTGCATGACCTTCAAATCTGCAGTGCATCTTGTTTAGAGTGTCAGCCACTTGGAATCACAAGGTTCTCATAGTTTCCTTCATTTGGTGAACATGCATGAGCTCATATTCATGTAAATCCTTCTCTGTGCTCAACCCCAGGCTTGATAAAGAGGCTCACAGATCACCTCTTTGGAAGGCACACTGGTCTACAGCAGACTGATGTCTGGATACACAGTACCACTTGAAGCCTTTTTGTTTGGGGACTCTTGAGCAATTCAGACACCCACTGCATTAGTTAGGATGAGCAATATTAGCTGCTGTAACCAACAGCTCTTCCTGAACTAAACTGTAGCACAATAAATATGCATTTTTATATTTAATGCAATAATTCAGAGAACGAGGTATTTTCCCCTAGCTTATCTACATCACTACCATCTTCTACTGGTTATCTCTAAGGCACATAAAGAAAAGGAAAATTACATTTGAGAGATTTTTAGGGAGTACTATATTTTGGGAAATGGTATATGTAGCCTTTCTACCTGTATTCCGTTGGCCAGAATTCAGTCATATGTCCGCACTTAATTGTAAGGGAACTGGGAAATATAGCTTAGCTCTATGCCCAGAATAAAAGTGACAGACATAGTTTTGTCCTAACATGTTCCCTTAAACTCATTTCCTATTCAAATGCACCCAAGATTATGTAAAAAAATATACTTTTGGTACAACTTGAGGGACCCTTTCAGGAAATATGATTTTCCAGTGTAGAATGAAACTCTGCTGGTGATAATTTAATCAATACAAATCATCTGGAGAATCTTATATGATATAACTCTTGACTCCAGGA